AATATAACCACCAACATTCCATCTCAATAAAACTTTACATTTAAGAAAAAAAAATGCATTTAATTACTTTCCTTACAGAAACATTTTGGTTAAAGGTTCTCCATTTATTTACTGCTAAGGATACTGACCTGATCAATATTTTTTATTATTAAATTATTGTTGTTAAATTATTTTGTTCCATTCTTGTTAAGGGTTTTAGGGTTTGTTAATGGATGTATTTGAAAATTAATAAAAAATATTCAAAGAAAAATTAGTATTATAATTGTATTATTAAATTTATTCAAATTGAATATTTTTTTGATAGGGTAAGTGAAAATCTTTCTAACTGGGATGTTAAATCCTTAGCATTTAGCTTTGTATAAGTCTAACATTTATTCATAATGGTCTTGAAAAGTCTTAAATTTAACTTGGTGAAACCTGCAGAAACCCTGATACACTGTAAAAGATTTCAGTTCTCTGTATTCTTCTTTTGGATTGCATTATGGAACCTAAATGTTTCCTCCAACAGCTTTTGATGTTGAAAAGATTAACAAAGTGGCTTTTAATAACATATTTAATAGTTTTCAGTGATATGTTGTCTGGGTTGGTGTTGTATATTATGGTACAAAAACCTTGTAATAAACTGGCTAGTTTTGTTTTTCCATATAGAACCTAACTTTCTGTATTATTTATTTTACAATTTAATGTTTGAAACTATTAAAATGGTAACACAGTCACTTTGTTAAACTGAGGAGTTAAATTTTCAACATCAAAAATCGAAATAGCAAAGATCAAGTTTCCTGAATGAAATTCATAACAATAAATAAACAAAATAAATCTGATAATGACAAAATACAGACGCTGTTAATGAGGTTTTGCAGTGTAATCATGTGTTTAGTAATTATATGGATTTGCTTAAACTTGTGTTTGGTTTCTCCCATTGGTTTTCCTCAGCAGCTTTATTTTCATACAATAGATATAAATTACTTGTTCAAAGTATATAAAAATATTTTAAGTTTAATAGTTTTTCACAATTTTATAGTTTTACTTGTATTTTTACTCAAATAATTGTGTCGTTGTTGAGCAAAACTTTTCTTTCATAAGTGTAAAAAACAAAATCATAACTTAATTACACTGTTTATATATATATATAAGCGTTTTTCTAGTTTGTTCGACAGTTTTTTTAGGGAATGTTTTGTATTGAGAACAGATCTTAAAAAAACATTTTAATTGAACTGAATGTGAATTTTACGGTGTGTTTACTGGGTGTTAGATTTGTTTGTCAGTGAACTTGAGTAACTCGATAGCTGGCTGAAATGCAGTGCAGTCTTAAACAATGGAAAGTATGCGCTTATGTGCTTATATTGTTTGGTAAATATCAGATTTGAGCTGTTTCAATTCCAAACAGTGTGTTCTTGAGTCTTTGGCTGACTCTATTACATTTTGTGTATTATTATGTTGGAATTTGTCATTGTCATTCAGAAAGTCTTCACCTTGTCTTAGATGTTTTTGAAATTCTCTCTGAGAATAACACAAACTGAACAATTATTGACACGTAAAAGGACGTGAATGGCCCAGCTTATATAGTTTAAAATGGATGAGAAAAATTTAAGTAATTTTTCTGAAATTGGCAGATAGTTTATTAGTATATTTAAGCACAGTTTGAGGTTTTTATGTGTCTTATGAAATTAGTTATATATTCTTTTCTCCCAAAAGTTTTATTTGTTCAGATAACTTTTTTTGTTTCAATTTTCTCTCAATTTTGTCATATATATATACAATTTTGGGAGTCGAATGATCATCATCTTTATCAATATGCTTTTGTAAATACTTATTTATATTATTTTTTATTTGAGAAGTACATTCTATTTCACCGAAATCTCATGAGGATATGAGATTTATTAAAGAAATAGTTTACTCCAAACATGAAAATGTACTCACTATTTACTTTCGCTCAAAAAATTACAAAAACATAACATTATTTCTTTCTTTTATTGAACACAAAATAATATATTTCGAAGAATGACTAAATGCGTTAGCCATTAACATCTATATTAGGAAAAAGAAAAAACTATGAAAGTCAATGGTTACCGCTTTCTAACATTTCTCAAAATATCTTCTTTTTAGTTTAACAATAAGAAAGAAACTACTAAAGGTTTGCAACAAGTAAAAGGAGAGTAAATGATGATGTAAATTGTATTTTTTGGGGTGAACCATCCCTTTAAATGTAGGTTTTTATATATTTCCCCCCCAAAAAAGTAGACTTTTGCAATAATCTCCATTTCCATTTCTCGATTTTTATTGCAGATACTTTCAAGAATTAATTGATATTTTTTCAGATTTTATTTATTTATTTATTTTTAAATATTATGTACTGTTTTGCCTTAATATCCAGAGTGTTTCTGACCTGCTGTGGTCAGCTCTGGTTGTTTTGTTCAGAGCCCTTATAAATCAATATGATGTTCCTTCCCTTCTGGAATCACATAGTTTCCAGTGGGGTTTTTTATATTCTTTTTCCAAATCTGACTGCTCAAAATCCCAAACAGTCTTCTAGTACATTCTGTTAACCCTCCATTAACTGCAACACGTCACGTAAAGGTCTGCTGCTTTATGAACAGGATCATAATGCCAATATGCAACTGATCACTTAATCCCAAAGATCTTGAGCTGTCCTGGTTTTTATCATGTGGGATTATGAGCAGACTTTACAGGCTCGCAGGACTGTGTTATTATGTATTATCTGACCTACAGGAATAACCTCGTTCATGCAGCGGCAGGAAGAGAAACATAATTAAATCACACACAACTGATGCTGTTATGTAATACTTGCTCACTCTTTTTTTTTTTTCTTCGCTATCTCCCTCCTTCTCTTCCTGTCCAAGAGCACACAAGTGTTTCTAAATATAATTCTCATGATAACTGTCTGTGAAAATGTGTGTTAGCTTCATTGGTTGGACACAACACAGTTTTATTGACAAAACAACAGCAAGATTGTGTCAGTGTTGTAGTTTGGTTTTGTAGTAAGATGATTTGAACATTCTTAAAGGGTTAGTTCACGCAAAAATTTTAATTATGTTATCATATTTGGAAGAATAAAAAAATACAGTGACTTTCATAGTATTTATATTCTCACTGTGAATGCCAGTGGCTGCTTCTTTCTACGGAGACCCGGAAGGGATGTAATTGTGGGGAAAAAAATGGGCGAAAAAAAAAATTATAAGAGAAAAAACAACCAAGTGATAGGAAGATATATATTTTTAAAGTTTTTGCGTTATCTCGCAAATAGGTTTTGCGTTCCCTCGCAAAACTGTTGTTGCCAAACACTTCCTGTTCACTTCATACACGTCAACCCTCCCATTTTTGCCGGGATTCTCCCATATATTTTACCATTCTATCCTGTTATCATCCTATCATCTAGTGTTTTCCCATATTTTACTTATATTTTTAATTTTAAAAGCATTGAAATTGCTATAAAAAAGTCTGCATTCTCTTTCTATTCATTAAAGCTGTGCGACGATCATCGCCCTTTATATGCAACCTCTGAATCAGCAAATGCATGTATAAGCGCTGATTGACGGGCACGCTCTGTATGATAAACTGATCCCAGATCAGCTTCAAAACATTTAAAGGGACACCTCTGTTGTTAAACAAGTGAAGAGCAGTAAATGAATCTCTTATTTTGTTTTGTTTGATAACAGAGGTGTCACTGTAAGAATACACAGATCTATAATGAAAGCATTCGATAACTTTCGATACAGTTTGTGCTCATTTAGGAGAAAATTAAGTGTGTTTAAAATAAAACACAGAGGGCGGACATGTTTACATATTATTAAGTGTATTTGTCTGCTTAAATGCACACCTGAATCCCAAAGTGTCCTGCACTTTAGCTCCTCTTTAAATGCCGTGTACAGAAGCTGATCTGGGATCAGTTTATTATACAGAGCACATCCGTCAGTCAGCGCTTATACATCCATTCACTGATTCAGAGGTTGCATATGAAGGGCGATGATCAACACACAGCTTTGATGGAAAGAAAGTGAATTCAGACATTTTTATATTAATTTCAACGAGCTTTCAAGATCAAAAAATGTGGGAGAAATACTTAATGACAGATAATAGAGGGATAGAATGGTAAAATATGGGAGAATCCCGGCAAAAACGGGAGGGTTGACATGAATGAAGTGAACAGGAAGTGTTTGTCAAACTTAAATAAATATATATCTTCTTATCACTCAGTTTTTTTTTCTTCCACCCATTTTATTCCACACCATCATGTCCCTTCCAGCTCTCCATATTTTCCCACCAATCTCAAAATATCTTGTCATGTGTTCGACAGACGAAAGAAATGCATAAAAATGAGTAAATGAATAGAAAATGTTTTTTTTTTTTTTACGTGAACTATCCATTTAAAACAAGATAGGAAATCTGTATAGTATATTAGAGATATTATAATTACATGTTTACAAATGATTTAAAACAATATTTTTTATAAGAAGAAATTATTCTATTATTTGTTTTTGTAATTGTTTGTTATTATTTAGTTGTGCTTAATTTATATAGTTATATTAAAATATTACAAGTAAATATTCTTAATATCTACCATTAAATAAATGTTATAATTCAATTAAATACATTAACAGTGGAAATAAGAGTAATAAAACTTGATTAATAATAAATCTGCCAAAAGTTGAATCAATGCTTTTTATGTGTAATATTTGTAACAACAACAGCAAATGTTCCTTATCTTAAGAAATGCTGAAGTGGACAGGATTATGAATGCTAATTTACTCTATGCAGAAAATATCCATGTGAATATGAAGTTCTTTGGCTTTGTTTTGGAGAGCCGTTTAAGAAAGATGCCTGACTTTGTCATTATGTGGTCATTATGATCTCAAAGTTCGAAGCGACCCATGAAATTGGAGCTCTCTAATCTTGTTTCTTCTTTGTCTTTATGAAGTCTATATATTAAACAGATAGACATGTTTTATGAGTCTGACAAGTATACACTTTTTGTGTTGCAGAAATCGAGGCAAAGGAAGCTTGTGATTGGCTGCGGGCAGCAGGATTCCCCCAGTACGCCCAACTTTTTGAAGGTAACGCTTCACCACACGAAAATATACAATTAGTAGGGATCATAAATGTTATTACACCCAAAATGAAAGCCATGTATTTCTGGAGAGTGAGAATTATGTAGTCAGAGCTATGCATGGCTGCATTTAGTCTTTAAAATGAACGATACAGGGCGGTATGATGCCGTCAAGGCTTCCATTTATCTCAGTGTGGACCACTTTTCCGCTGTTTCCAGTTCGTCTAGTGGCTTTTCTTTTTCTGGATTGCTTTTGAAAACACTATTGGTTGGGTTTGGAGTAGAGGGTGGGTCAGGGTATCGGTCAGTCGGTTGAGTTTGTTGAAAAAACTGAGAAATTTTGATATTGAGAAGGACATTTTGATTGTTGTATATAAATCACCTTTTAAATCCGCCCTTACTTTTAAGATTGTAGCCTGCTTTAACTCCCTCTCTATTAAAAGTAAAAATACACTTTTAAGATTAGTAAACTCATTCATTCATTTCTTTTTGGCTTAGTCCCTTTAAGATTAGTTAATGTAGCGAGTAAAATAATTGGTTGGAGACAAATTCTTCTTACTAATTTAATTATAGCAGTTAAAAAAGGAAAAAGCTCCACTATTGTGGAAGATTCTTCCCATCCTGTACATGGTTCCTTTAAGTTATTTCCATCTGGCAGATGGTAAAAATAATTAGCAAAAAAGCCTATGTGCAAGAAGACATTTATTCCCACTGCCATTGTTTTTTTATATATATATATATATATATATATATATATAAATATGTGACTTTTTAAATAATTTTGTAAGAATATTTATGTTTTGCTGTTGTTTGTGAGCCTATGTCTAAAGACAAATTTCTAACCTCTGTGGGATAGACAATAAAGTTTATTTAATTGAATTAAAAACTTTTATTAATACAGTTTAAACTACACCAATTAAGAACAGTTAAATTATTATAAAATAATTCAACCTTGATGAGTAAAATAGGCATCTTTCAAACCATTAACAGTCATACTGATCAAAAACTTAGACTTTTAGTATGATTTAAACTGTTTAAAGAGCGGTTAGTACTCTCATTCAGATTTCCAAACAATCGCATGACGTCAACCTGTTCCCAAAATGAGTGTCATTTTGGGCAAAAACAAGCTTTTAATGTGGGATGTGGTTTCCGATGTTTAAATGGGCGCTTTAATGTCTGTCAGACCTCATGTTGTTTAGCTAGTTTAAGCTCACTCATTTTCCCTGTGATCTGATGTTTCGTTCCACCTCAGAAAAAGGCCTCATTTACTCAGAGCATTCATACCCCCTACATCTGAAATGCTGGGAGGTACAGGTCATTGGTCAAACAGGTTCAGGTTAAGAGGTACCGCTTGTACATATAGAGTGTGACATCTTCAAAGAGAGACAGAGGTCATGGGAATAACCTTGCCGCAAAAAACGCTGCCTTTTTCAGTCGCTCATGGCAAGTGCTTTTGATCTTGGAGTGTTGGTCTTTAGATGAAATTGTATGAGCTTTCTAGTTTTTTCACTTGTTTCATTTCATGTTTTAGGAGTAAAAACCCCAGATTTTTTTTTTTGTTCTCTGTTACTTGTCTATTTAAAGTTATAAAACACCCCACCCCCTCCAAAAAAATAAAATAAAATAATAATAATAATAAAAATGTAATTTATAAGACTTTCATTTAAAATATATAATATAAAAATTAAATATAATATAATTAATTATAATATAATATAATATAATATAATATAATATAATATAATATAATATAATATAATATACAGTTTTATAAATGGATGCATCAGATGTTTTGGAGCATAAAAATAATTCAAACAATATAGAGTTTTTAGCAAAATAGATGGTCTTTTATTATACAATCCTTTCTTTGTTTATTTGTGACAATAATACTTGCGGTCATGGAATCAAAGTGCAGAATAGAATCTTTCCATAATGCATCTCTTCAGAAGTGTTGTTTTGGAATATCCAGCAGCTTAAAACCAGAACACAGTGTCTCTCTTTGAATCTGTGATTTTACTTATTTCATTCAGCAGAGGCAAAAAAATATGATGAAACATTTAATTGTACTAGTGGAATGTCAACTCTGGCGGGGTCTGGATCCAGTCACCCCATTACATAAGTTGGACACTATACTCAGTTGAAGACGTAATGGCTTCTCAAAGCCAAGCTCAGAATTTGGGGGGCAAACCCTGTCTCACTTTATTAGCATCTGGAAGTTTAAAACAAGTTAGCTACTCTCTGTGTCTTGGCTATCGCTCTGGAAAGAATGTGTTGTCAGGGTTTTTTTAAAGAGTGTGGGCGCCTGGATTCCTCTGTGTTCACTGTGAACATGCAAGATTGGCCTATTAACGAATCAGAAGGAAATCGTTATGGTGCTTAAAAGACATCTGTTTTTTCCTGAATTGGACTGTAATGGACTTGATTGTTGAAATGGGATACGCCTGTGTTTCTTTGCAGATTCTCAATTTCCCATTGACATCTCTCCTGTGAAGAAAGACCATGACTTCTTGGACAAAGACCTTGTGGAACCTCTATGCCGGTAAGAACTGTGTTGTATCTACAGTCTTCTCGACACCCTGAAGAAATCAAGCCATATCTTTGGAGAAACATTGAAACTACCTAAGCTTAATAATAAATAATAAATACAACAGATAACAGCAGCAATAAAACAGAGGAAAAAATACTTTTAGAACCATGTTGTTGTAATGGCGGCCATCAAGAGGAGTTGTACAAACCTCACTCCCTGGAGATGCACCAGCAACTGACACTATAGATTTGTGTCTTTAATGTCCTTGTTATCATGACTTGCTGGAAACCCTGGATCAGATCCCACTCAGGTGGGGTTGCATTAGTGCCATGACCCGGTTGAAAGTGAAGCCAATGGAGACCAGCAAACAGGAACTGCTAGGGGTCATTGTGTTTAGCTTCCTCGTTAGAGCAACCGACTTCCATTTGGAGAGTCAACAGTTCAATTCCAGCTCGGAGCGGGTTGGGTGGTGCAGGACTTAGCGGGGTTACATTGGTGCCGTGACCCAGTTGAAAGTAAAGTGCAATCGAGACCAGCAAACAGGAACTGTGCAAGTAAACCATACTCACTTGGCATTAAGAGACACAATTTTGATTAATGCTAGGGGTTGTGGTCTTTGAGGCCATCTAGTGAAGTGCTGTGCAGGTAAACCTCACTCTTCTGACCTCCTAAAGGTGCTCTTGCAACAGACGCTAGAGGTCATGCTGTTTAGCCTCCTTGTTGGAGCTACCGACTCCTATGTGGAGAGTCGCCGGTTCAATCCCAGGTCGGAGCGGATTGGGTGGCGCAGGACTTTGCGGGGTTTATTGGTGCCGTGACTAGGATGAGAGTGAGGTTTAGGGGTGAGTGTTACGGTCATAGTGTTTAGCCTCCTTGTTGTAGCTACCAACTCCCATGTGGAGGGTTGTCGGTTCGATCCCAGCTCGGAGTGGGTTGGGTGGTGCAGGACTGACGGGGTTACATTTAGAGCAGGACAGAAAGGGAGACAATAATGTTATGACCATGGCAGGAGTAAGGCTTAAGGAGGAGAGTACAATGAAGATGTTATGCTCATCAAGGGATGGGGTCTTTTGCAGCCTTGTTAACTCAGTTACCTCCCAGGCCCAAAACTTTAGTTTGAATTTCACTCCAGACCAGTAGAACTTAAGGGGCTATTTTGGTGGTGTGAACTAAATGGAAATGAATTTTAGAGGTGTGAGTGCAATGAAAGCCACATAGACCAAATATCCACTTAGTAGGAGCTGTTAAAGTAAACCTTAAGCCTTCTTTCCACTGCACATAACAAACGACAAGCGACAGACCGGAAGTGATTAATTTCCAATGAAGAGTAGTCTGGGAGCTGCGTGGAGTTCCGATCATCTTTGTATGCGGAAATTCCAATTGAGCTGTGGACCTGTTGAAATATTTGAACTCCTGGGACTAGACTGTATGCGACCGGCCGACCGGATGTGATGTATTCCAGTGTTGTCCAAGTAGGTCCGTGTGCGCGAGATAAGAAATGGGAGTTTTTTTTTTTTTTGTTATATTTTGAATCAGAAAAAGTCTTTATTAAAAAAAATAAAACATTTCTATTCATAAATGTAAGTAATAAAGTAATAAAAATTTTTTTTATGTTGTCTCCACATTCCCTTTAATATTTTTAGCGGTCTATGAGTTTCTAGTATTCATTCATTTTTACTCCCCTTACCTCAAGAGGCACAATAGTAACCGAGAGGATGTTAGAAATGCTGAATCATATCCCACTTACAAAAACAAGAGTGTTAATAAAGTTAATGGATGAAAGGGTTTAGATCTTTATTTCATATTCAAAACATGTATTTTGTAGTGGTTGAGGTTTATCAAAGTCCTCTTCATCTGTAATGACAACAAGTCCTAAAAGTCTGCTTTTCCCTCATGCATTGCATCAATTAAGCTCAGGTCTGGAGGACTTTCTCTCATGTCAATCTTCTTGTAATAGTAGAGTAAATAATGTCATGATTAAAGCAACAAGTGACTCAATAAAGTTTGTAAATTACACTCATTGTGTTTCCCCAGAAATTAAGTACAGAATGTTCTCAATGAGTTAGCTTTTCGTTTTGTTTAGACACTGAATTTGAGTTCCCAAATTAAGATGAAAAGAGCCCTCCAGTGACTTTGGTTGCCTTGGATACTGCTCTGGTAGGAGAGCACTGGGGGCAAAGGGGGTGCACTCAAGCCGGTCTACTGTGACTCTAAACAACCCTTAAGCAACTCATCGAAATTCCAAACCTGTTTACTGTTGTGTGGGAAACAATGTCCGACATTCCCACCTCTCCCCCTGACTTCTCACTTTTCTTCATCCCCCGGAGGGGAACAACTTGGTAAACAATTCTAGCACGACATGCCTAGTAAGAGTGCGGAGGAGTCAGTTAGTTGCGGATGTTTGCGAGCACCAGTGACAAAGCTAACATCTTTAACCTTTGTCTGACACTTTACTCTCTGCAGTTTGCTGATTTTAGTTCACAAATCTGTCAATTGTAATTAATGGGTTGTTACCAAATTCATTAACTTAGTCTCGTTAACTAGCAATGTTCAACCAACATACAAGAAATGTAAGCTTTATTAACACAATGAAAGCTAAACACTTTAGCTTTAGGGACTAGTTCTCAATGTTTAATTTGTTAATACTGATTAATGGCTGCATTGAACATATGCCAGAGTATTTGGTGGTTCATTCTGCTGAGGTGACCCCTGATAAATCAGTGACTCAGCCGAAGAAAAATGAATGAATGATTGATTACTGATTTAATATGTACAACCATATTTCAAATCCTTTATCCAGGGGTGCCCAAACTCGGTCCAGGAGCGCCGGAGTCCTACATAGCTTAGCTCCAACTTTCTTCAACACATCTGATTGGAAGTTTCTAGTATACCTAGAAAGAGCTTGATTAGTTTGTTCAGGTGTGCTTAATTGGGGTTGGAACTAAAATATGCAGGACACCAGCCCTCCAGGACCGGCTTGGACACCCCTGCCTTAATCTTACATCATAGCTAAAATTAGGTAGCAGACTTTTGCGATTCATGCTTTATATCTGCAGTCTTTATTTTTATAGCACACACAGACGGTTGAACAATAAAAAGAGTCATAAAATGTCATGATTATTACATCAGAAGCAGTGGCTCGGTTTCAGTGGATGCTTGAGGCACGCAATGTTTTGTCGTCTTTTCCACATTATTCTTTTCTTTCCCTTTACAGTACCAATAGATTGTTATAAATCTAATGGTTCCATATCTATGGGAAGACTTTATCTTTTTAAATATCTATTGGAAATACTGATACATTAAAGTGTTGATTCAATGTATTTATTGTAAAAGGTCAAAATTGAAACTAATGCTCTGCGATCAAAAAGGAGCCGTTTGAGCCCACCACTTTGTCAAAAACTCCGGAAGCTGCTTCACTTTCACCTCAAAATCATTTTTCATATTTGAGGGACCACACAAATGACCTATTTATCAAGACATTTTGGGAATGGCATCAAAGAAAAGCAAGCTCTTACCGTTTTTGTATGGTTTTGTGAATTTGAGGGGGGAAAACAGGCCTCTTAGACCTGGATGAGTGACTATGTGGCAGCTGGAATCAACACCACATTAGTTGCTCTTGAGGGCTATTGAAAACCATGACAACTGCAGCTTGCAAGCTTTTGCCAATTAAAAGCAAGCCACCATGAGAGAGAGTAGGACATTGGCCAATTATTGTGCCTAATTAGGTTTGCTGCTCACCAGAGCCAAGCATTGGATAGCAGGGACATAGATCTTATAGCTTGATTATATTAGAGATGGTCACAGAAACTGTGCTGATATTGTGTCCACATCACCACGGTATCAGCAATGCAACATAAAAGCAGTCAAAGTGAAAGGGATTCTAATATTTTTGTTTCTACTTTTTGTCCCATTCAGGCGACTGAATACGTTGAACAAGTGTGCCTCTATGAAACTTGATGTAAATCTTCCCAAGAAAAAAGTAAGTGATGCATCATTTCTTCAACATTTCTGCTTGTGTATGTCCATAGTTCAATCGATTTCATGTTATACTGTAGTAGTTTTGTGGAAATAATTAGGGGTATTGTAATAATGCCTGTAAGTATGAAGTGATCATCATTGCCACAGTGTAATGCAGAAAGAAAATTACAGGCATTCTATTCCTAATAAGCTTAATTATAGGAAAATGTCACGATCTGTGTTAATTGATGCAACTGTTTTTGCTCTTTATGTACAGTATCACTTACTGTACCACCTAAAGACTAGAATAGAAACTGATATACAGTGTTATATCACACTGGTTATGTAATGATTCAACGTAGGAAGGAATGTGCCCTTTCAAAACAAGAAAAAGCCATTTGAGTGAATCTAAACTGTTAGCTCCAGGGGTTCTGGATTGTAGAGAAGGAAAAAGGAAAAAAAAGGGTGAAAGAAAGTTTTTCTTGAAGGATTGGGATGGTAGACAAGTATTGTGCTGAATTGTTAATGTTGTAAAGAAAAAGGTAAGGCAATAAAAAGAAAGTATTTATTAATTCTGTTGTTAACTTGCAGAGCGAAGACTCAGATGAAGATGACCTCTTTGCCATCAGTGACAAATGGACCTTTGAATGGAGCAGTCGTCGCTGGTCCAGGCTTCAAGACATTGATTGTCTGCTGAGGGGTGTGGAAAACAGGAAACCTGCGGAAAACTCTGCCCTGCGGACAACAACCAGCAGCGAGAGTGTTCTGACAGACTTGAGCGAGCCGGAGATCTCTTCTCTTCACAGCGAGAGCAGCGGTGGAAGTGGTGGTGTTCGTGCTCACAGCGCAGAAGACTCGGACAGTTCACACCGCACCTGCTCGGACTCTGCAGCCATGCCCGACCACACGTCACTTGGCATGGCCCATCTCTCATCTGATCTTTCAAGCTATGGTTCTCTGCCTGTAAAGCATGGCAAGCGAGGAAGGACGCGAGCTAAAGAATTCCTAAGGCGCATGGAAGCTTTACAGTTACGGGGAGCAATGAGTAGCGGAGGGAACAGGAGTCTTGTTATAAGTGCCCCGGTTCTCCAACAAGAACCTCAGACTGTGAAAACTCTCCGCTGTGTGGAGATCATCAATGGAGATGTGCATCTAGCGGAACCACCTTCAGGGATGTTGCTATCCCAGTCTAGTAGTGAAGGGAGCAGCAGTCAATCGAGCGGGAGTGCTGTTAGTACACCAAATCTGAAGGAACGCAATGTCCACCGGGCTGATCACAAACGAAGCGGGATGTACTTGGAGGACTTGGATGTGTTCTCCAGTCTCATCCAAGGTAAGCGTGTGGCCGAGCAGAACCGCCGCAACGAGTTCCGGTCCTATGAAGACCTGGTGGTGCATATTCCTAAAGATCACAAGCCTGGAACATTTCCCAAAGCTCTGTCTATTGAGAGTCTTTCACCCTCGACGGCAACCTCCATCAACTGGCACTCTGCAAGCATGGACTCGGATGTCCAGCGTCCACCTAGCATCAAAGAACCTCGTCCTGTCACGCAGTGCTGCACCCGAGGCAGTCGGATCAGCATTTATGACAATGTACCCGGCTCGCACCTCTATGCCAGCACTGGCGACCTTATAGACTTGGAAAAGGAAGACCTTTTCCCACATTTGGATGATATTTTGCAACATGTTAACGGACTGCAACAGATTGTGGACCACTGGTCCAAAAATGTATTGCCTAATAGTGAAAATGCAGGAAAGGGGCAAGTTGATCTTGATGTCGAGGGGCAAGACGACTTGCAGTCATCTAGCCAGATCACATTGGACTTTGAGGGACATTCAGTGCTGGAGGGTCAGGCTACCCCCAGTGATGTAGAGAGGGATGGGGTGTCGCTTAATGAAACAGAATCTACAGGAATGAGGGAAAGGAGAGACTCTGGGGTCGGTGCTTCACTTACCAGACCAAAACGGTAAGATTTAGAGCTATGTTCACTATAAGTGTTGCATGCAGAACTGTAAAGTTAAGATTGGAGAGTAAGACACCAAAAACTATGCAGAAGTTTTAGCTTTCAAATGTCAGATCCTGCATCTGAAAAGTCACTGTCCTTTAGAGTTTAACTCGTACCAGCTCTGTCACACTTACTTGCAAGGTTCCTGTGAGACTAAGACCTCGGTTATGCTGAGTTCAGACTGCATGACTTTCAAAGTAGTCGTGTCACGGATGTTTTCACACTGAATGACTATCTAGGTTAGCGTTCTGTTGGTGCTGTGTTTTCACTGTAGGATGGATCAGGGACAGGAGGTTTCACACTGCAAAACTTTAAAATAGGAATAATCGCCAACAACTTTGTCACTACATCTCACAACCAAAGAAAATTGAGAAGTGACATGGAAACATTGCAAAGTCACATAATATATATTTCGCTATTTACTACATAATGGAAAAAGAAGGCTTAAGCTTTAGAATATGTACTTATTTTGCTCACCTGGCTTTTAAAGAGAATTAACTATTTCTTTATGACTTGGTTGTGATATTGCTCAGATAACACGTCAAACAGACACGGTGCTCCTGCCAAATTTTCACTAGTTTTTCCTATATTTATTGGGTCCAAATAAACTGAAAATTTGCGTTTTTGACTTCTCCACTCACCTCCCGCTGGCCTGCAGTTACCCATACTAACAGATTCTGTTCTGTCATTGGCTGTAGGTAATCACCGATGTTATTTTCAAACAAAACATATTTCACACAGCATGATTTGAATCGCTGACAGCTCCAGGTATTTAGCATGTCAAATATTTCACTGGTGTGGGCGACTCATCTGCGATTCTCTCATTTCACATGCTTTATAGTTCGTACTGTGTGATTGTCACTCACGTCAACGAGCACCGATTTGACTGTGATTTCCGGTATTTGTCAGCGATTTCTCAAAACATGTCGGCAAGTCCAAATCAGGGCTAAATCGAGCAGTCTGAACTTAGCATTAGTGGGTTTAGGTTCGTTTATGGGGAATGAAATAATACATTTTAAGACAATGACTGTATCTGTAATTGCCTCATATACACTCATTATCTATTTCCTTCATTAGTCCACTAAAATTGTCTAGGTATTGGAGCAAACAAAATTTTATGTATACAAAGTTAATTTAACAACTAAATATTGTTTTAGAAAATTATACCAACAGATTTTTTTTTGTGGATGCTATTTTGTTGTCAGACAGAAAATTTTTCAGCGCACAAACTCCCTCAAGTCATTATAAGTATTCTATAGCTGTTCTTATTGTGGTGCATTGTAGGATTGATTGAGTACACTTTAGAACGTCCAACATGATTTTAGACACTACTGCAAATGGCTGCTCTTTAAAATAGTGCACTATTTAAGGGTATAGTGGTGATTTCAGATACAGCCAATGACTTTCCACAAACACTAATGGACACCTCTGGTCCAAATGCAAGTTTAGGTGGTTGCTTAATTATTTATTTGCACCCAGTTGAGAATCTCTAACATGTTTCTCCTTTCTGTGTTTAGCTTGCGATGGCCCAGCTTCCAGATTTCCAACCGCCTCAGCCATTCAGTCGCCTCTCTCCAGATCACCAGCCAATCTGCAGCCCAGCTCAGCCTGCTACAAAAATTTTCCTTGCTCCGTCTCACTGCCATCATGGAGAAGTACTCCATGTCCAACAAACATGGCTGGACCTGGTAAGAATCTGTTGGAAAAATGATCAGACCCTATGAGATTTATTTTACTGTTTTACTGTAGCCTGAAACATCCTTCTAAAACGTGGTTGTGTCATTTGTAGCTCGAGAGGGAGCACCAGTAAATATTATCATGTCCGCCCTCTTTTGGTCACTATTGTTACTGCAGGCAAAACTCTGATATGATTTGTTTACTTGTATCGATGCCTCATACTCTCTAAATATACAATATAAAAGATGCAGTGATGACATTTATAGAAGAAGCTAATATGTATTTAACTAAGCGTGGTGTTTTGAATGTGTCAGGTCTGTGCCAAAGTTTATGAAGAGGATGAAGGTTCCAGACTATAAAGATAAGAATGTGTTTGGAGTCCCGCTGATTGTGCATGTACAACGCTTCGGTCAGCCTCTACCTCTCGGCATGCAGCAGGCTTTGCGCTACCTCAGGAGCCAATGCCTCGATCAGGTCAGTCAGTACAAGAAACTAAACATTAAAGTATTCTTTTTTTTTTTAAATAAATTTGTATTTGAATTGTTTCATATGTAGAAATGTGAACTAAAACAATATATAATATGGCTTCTGTTTCCTAGGTGGGTCTTTTTCGCAAATCAGGAGTGAAGTCTCGTATCCAAGCACTCCGACAGATGAACGAGAGTTCTCCAGATGATGTTAACTATGAAGATCAGTCTGCATATGATGTTGCTGACATGGTCAAACAGTTCTTCAGGGATCTGCCTGAGCCACTTCTGACCAGCAAACTGGGTGAAACCTTCCTCCACATTTACCAATGTAAGAAACACTCTCACTTTAACACCCACCCTTCTCCTGCTCTCAGAAAAATAAATGCAAGCAATTTTCCTTTCCATTTCAGATGTGCCCAAAGAGCAGCGCTTACAGGCTGTGCAGGCGGCCATCATGCTGATGTCAGATGAAAACAGGGAGGTATTGCAAACACTGCTTTGCTTCCTGAGTGATGTCACTTCCTCCGTTCAAGAGAATCAGATGACGCCCATGAACCTGGCAGTGTGTCTGGCACCTTCACTTTTTCATCTCAACATCCTGAAGAAGGACAATCTTACGCCAAGGTAGAAAACACTTCTTTTGATTGTCTGTGATGTGTAAAGTTATGTTCAACCATGGACTTTCACCAATATTATGGCCAAAAATAAAATAAATAATATATTAATTAAATTACATAATAAATAATAAAAAATTGCTAATGTGGCAGTGTGGCATATTATGTACTGTATATTCGTAATTCTTTTAGTATCAAATATCATATTATAGTCAATATAGTTATATCATGATAACCCAAATAACATGATAATGATAATAATTCAAAATCATTGTGAATACTAGTATATTTCAACAGCTCTAGTTCATCCATAACATCCATCTATCAATACGATAACTGTATTTGGACATTTGGAAATGTCATACAACTTTGTCATATGTTAATAATACATTTAATTTGTGTATTTTCTGCCTTTTAAAATGATTATTTTAACGTTGTAGTTAATAATAATAAGAAGAAAATAAATACATTTTAAAAACAACTGATTGTTTTAATATTTAAATGATATAATCTTAAAGGATTTCCAAATCTGTCTGCAGAGCTATGCACATGCAGAAAAAGTATGCCACAGGGAGGCCAGACCAAAAGGACCTGAATGAAAACCTGGCTGCCACGCAGGGCCTGGCACACATGATCACAGAGTGTAATCGCTTGTTTGAGGTGAGACACATATCTGTTTCACATGAGGCATATTTGAATGCAATTCGAAAGTGTCCAAGAAAACCATCATGGACCCCTAATCTGAGTGGAAATGTGTTTTTCATTTGCCTATTCATTTAACTTGTGTTCCTTTTTTCCCCTAGATTCCTCACGAAATGGTGACACAGTCGCGTAATTCGTACGTGGAGGCCGAGCTTCAGGCTCCCACCATTGAGGAGCTGTGCAAGCGGCAGCATCCGGAAGATGATGGGGAAGATGAAGGCTCCTGGCCTGCATTCATGGAGGCTAGACTACAGGGTCTCCTCAAAGACTCACGGGAGAAGGCCAAAGGCTGGGTGTCCTGCCAGAGCACCGGCAACACCGAGCTGTCCTATAAGAAAGTAAGAATAAAGAAAACCAGGCTTTTTCATTCGTTTAGACTCAAAATCCACAATATTTATGTTGCCAGCTCACATTGTTATTCTTAAAGTCAATAATTAATCTGTGCAAAATAATCCAATAAAAAATGTTTTTGTTAAGCTTCAATCAAAGTCTGACCATTTGTTTCTGCCTTTGGAGTGGCAATCCTTCTGTTGATGTTAAGTTGAGGGCTTCCATAGCAACTGCTTATCGTTATTCCTAACCCAGCCCCTTTTTCTGTTAGCTTCCTATGAGGGAATGATACACAAAACAAAGCCCCACCCACTACTCAATATTCAGTTTGAGCTAGAACTTCATCAACATACTGAAAAAAGTCTCAGCAACTTCTAGTTCATGCTGAATTTAAAGTTTCACTGTAGTACCTTGAAATGCGCAGCTTTAATTTCAACTAAAATAACTAAAATCTAAAGACAGAGTGGGACTATAAAGTACCTCCTCACCCTTTTTAAAAATAAGTCAATAGAGGTTAGGTTCACATGACATTAACACTAAACTAGACTGTCTGGATCATGATCAACAGTTTGGCGTTCGTTATTGGATTTTAAATCCACACAGAAGAATAAAGGCTCCTTACTCATCCTTCATTTTCCGCAAACCTGTTTGACTTTTTTTTTCTGTGGAACACAAAAGAAATTGTTTTGAAAAATTAGGAAAACCAGTAACCATTGACTTCCATTGCATTTGATTTTTCTACTATAGAGGTCAACGGTTACAAGTTTTAACCAATTTTCTATATATCTTCTTTCGTGTTCAACAGAAAAAATAAACTCATTGGTTTGGAATCACTTGTGGGTGTGTAAAATTGTCTTTTTTGGGTGAACTGTCTCTTTAAGACATATTGATACTAACCCTCAATAGAGTGTGATTTTAATTTCAGGGGAACTTTAATGATATCAAATCGATGAATTTGCTCTTCAGTGTTTGGACTCTCAGTAATGACTTCAAACCACACTGAACTGAGCTAAACTGAACTGAACTTAATCACTAAAAACTGCACTACCCTGATCCAGTTACTATGACCATTTATGTGAAGCTGCTGTGACACAATCTACATTGTAAAAGCGCTATACAAATAAAGCTGAATTGAATTGAATTGAATGTTAAAGATGAAGTAATCGTCTGTGGTTTATTTCCAGGTGGGTGATGGGAATCCTCTGCGCCGCTGGCGGGTCTCAGTAGAGGTGGAGGCTCCTCCGTCTGTGGTTTTGAACCGTGTTCTTCGGGAACGTCACATGTGGGACGTTGATCTGATGAACTGGAAAGTGAGTGAGGTTCTGGACCGGCAGACTGAAGTGTTTCAGTATGTCCTCAACTGTATGCCTCCTCATCCCAGCAGAGACTTTGTGGTGCTCAGGTAAGTCCGTTCAAACAGCGACCATCATGGCTCTTTCTGTTTCATTTTGGTAATGAAAGTAAATTAGTGTTATTTAAAACAAGTTTAAAATAAATATGAAATTTTTTAATTATATATTTTATTCATATATAATCATACATTTTTTGGTAATTCAAGAAACATTTTTGAATTTTATTTTATTATAATTTATTATATATATATATATATATATATATATAATTTATTTATTATAATTCTGTTATATTTTATTTTAATTATTATATTATATTATATTTAGATTTTTCTATTTTTTTATTATATTATATTATATTATATTATATTATATTATATTATATTATATTATATTATATTATATTATATTATATTATATTATATTTAACAAATAAAACAAATCCATTAAGTTACAATTCTTTTCAAATATCCTTACACACTGAACATCAATGCCCGGTTAATAAAGAGCTAATTAAATTTGTTAGAAAGAGTGTAAATGCTGAAATGTATTAGCTGGATAGATGGTTTAATTTGCAGCAGGGAGAGTGGTATAAAGCTGTAATGTCTGTGTTCAGGTCGTGGAGGACGGATCTTCCACGAGGGACGTGTTCTCTGGTGTCTGTGTCCATCGAGCATGAAGACTGTCCACCTGTCGGAGGAATCAGAGCCATAGTGATGGAGTCCAATTACTTACTGGAGCCCTGCGGATCTGGCAAATCCAGACTCACACACATCTGCAGAGTCGACCTCAAGTGAGTGCATGGAGATATATAGGCTGAGTGAGACACACACACACACACACACACTTACAGGAGAAATGAATGCCTGTCAGTGTGCTTGCATTTTTTTTCATTAGGTTATATAAATTAGTTCATATTAATTTTCTACTATGTATTTATTGTTTTTTTTTTCTTTGTCCTTGCCAAGATAATACCAAAATTGTTCCATAAGCACCATATCTGTTATACATTTTTTAAAGAAATTAATATTTTTATTAATGAATGATAAATTAATCAGAAGTATCCCAATCAATAATAAGGTTTCATTAGTTAATGTTATTGTATTTTCTAACATGAACAATACTTGTACAGAATTTATAAATCATAGTTCAACATTCACTGATGCCCTAATACACTTATAGTTTCAATGAAACTTTATGCAACTACACTTTTTCAAAATTGATTAAAACAAAAATGTTTTGTAAAACGACTCTCTTATACACTTACCAGCCACTTTATTAGGTACACCTGTCCTACTGCTCATAAATGCAAATTTCTTAACAGCCAATCACATGGCTGTGACTCAATGCATTTAGGCAAGTAGACATTGTCAAGATGATCCGCTGCAGTTCAAACCGAGCATCAGAATGGGGAAGAAAGGTGATTCAAGTGACTTTGAACGTGGCATGGTTATTGGTAATTCAGAAACTGCTGATCTACTGGACCTTTCATACACAACCATCTCTAGCGTTTACAGAGAATGGTCTGTAAAATAGGGAGTATCCAGTGAGCGGCAGTTCTGAGGGTGCAAATGCTTTGTTGATACCAGAGGTCAGTGGAGAATGGCCAGACTGGTTCTAGCTTATGTAAAGTAACTCAAATAACCACTCGTTACAACCGAGATATGCAGAAGAGCATCTCTGAAGCCACCGGGTGCTACTCCTGCCAGCTAAGAACAGGAAATTGAGGCTACAATTCTCAAAGAATCACCAAAATTGGACTGTGGAAGATTGAAACACATTGCCTGGTCAGAAGAGTCTCGATTTCTGCTGCAACATTCGGATGGTAGGGTCAGAATTTGGCATCAACAACATGAAGGCATGGATCCATCCAGCTTTGTATCAACGGTTCAGTCTGCTGGTGGTGGTGTTATGGTGTGGGGGATATTTTCTAGGCACACTTTGGGCTCATTAGTATCAATTGAGTATCATGTCAACACCACAGCCTACCTGAGTATTGTTGCTGACCATGTCCATCCCTTTATGACCACAGTGTACCCATCTTCTGATGGCTACTAGCACCATGTTATAACGCACCATATTATAAAGTGTGAATCATCTCAGACTGGTTTCATGAACAAGACAATTAGTTCACTGTACTCAAATGGCCTCCACAGTCACCAGAACTCAATCCAATAAAGCACCTTTGGGATGTGGTGGAGCGAGAGATTTGCATCATAGATGCGCAGCCGACAAATCTGCAGCAACTGCGGAATGCTATCATGTCAATATGGACCAAAATCTCTGAGGAATTTTCCAGTATCTTGTTGAATCTATGCCACGAAGGATTAAGGCAGTTCTGAAGGCAAATGGGGGGCCAACCCACAATAAGTAAGATGTACCTAATAAAGTGGCCAGTCAGTGTATGCTACACTTTTTGTATACACTGATTGTTATTCATCTTAATTTTATAAATACAGTTTATAAACAAAATGTATGAAGCACAAAATTGACATGCAAGAATGGTTTCTAAAAGTTATTATGCTTAAAAACATCTTGTAAGATTGATAATATAAAAAGATATGATAGAAAAGAGGTTTCTCACATTTTTTGTGTTTATTTTTATTTCAGGGGAAGAACTCCAGAATGGTACAACAAAGCATTTGGACACCTTTGCGCAGCCGAAGCTGCTCGTATCCGCAATTCCTTCCAGCCAATCCATACAGAGGGTCCAGAAACTAAAATCTGAGCCGATTTCTCATCCTGGAAAGTGAAATCTCAGTTGAGTGACTATAAAAACTGAAAAAATTCATGTCCTTTTGCACAATGGGCAGCATAAACTCACCAGGAAAATCATCAACTCACCAATATACCTTCAGCTTGTACATTTTTAAATATACTCTTATTGTAACTATCATTATTTGTATTATAATTAATTATTTTATTCTTTTATATGATCTTATACAATGTATAGGACACCTAAGCTCTTAAGTGCTTCTGGGAAGCTTATATTTTATTTAATTAAAGCAAAAAAGAAAGCTATATTTGCACATGCATGCACTGCATCTCCATGTATGTGTTTGTATTCGTGTGTAAATCTTGTATAGACTATATATATATATCTATTTAAATACTCATGTAGTACAAACATTTTGCGTTCATGTGTTTGATATGTCCGTCTGCACAGATATCAGCGTAATTCATATGGTACAAAATGTAACTCAGTTGTAAACTGGGTCTACTTTGCTCTCTTTTAATAATCTTTGTCCACGAATGGGTGTAATATTATGGATTTTTACGTGCTTGTTTTAAAGGATGGACAAATTGACTTGGGTTTGATTTTCTCAGACCTGCTTTTGTAGTACCTGATTACAATAATGACAAAAAGACAATGATTCTTAATTAAACTATGTAAAATGACGTCATATTAACTTGTACTTGTTAATCTGGCTGATCTCATGAACCGATCACAAGTGTTTTTGTTTATGAGTTTACATGCAGAGGAAGACAGATGTGCTCCCCCATATATGACACATCAGCAACGCGAAAACACGTGAGAAGGTAAATGATGGGTGAGCAATCGATGGGCTCACAACACATGTGGTAAAATATATAGACTTTTTTTTATAATTTATAGAACTAAAGAAGTAAGGGATATAAAGGTTTGCATTTTAACATCTTGTGCATCAAATATGCACTCCAAAGTTTTCTTGATTGAGACATGTTGAATTCTTCTTCCATTATTTGCAATGTTTTCCTTAACGTTTTTTATCTGTTTAATATTATTTTCTCTAAAGCTGCTTCTGACCATGACATGTTCACACTAACTGGTTATGAATGACATGTTTAGGGGAATATTCAACATTCTTCCTTTATTCTCTTGGGTCAGGAGAGATCTACACTTAAGTAGCATACTTGAGAAAATGTGCTTTATGCATTATAAAGCTTGAAGCATCAGAATCGGTACTCGGTTTCAACCGATCACCATCACAAGGAGATGGCACTTGGTATCGGCAGCAAACATCCGGATCGGAGTATCCCTAAATATAACTAAGTACATCATCATGCATAAGTTTGAGGTCTGTGTAATAAAAAAAATATTTTATTCGGAAATGGTGCATTATATTGATCATATGTAATTATTTATGTATTAATTACTTAATTAATTTTTTTATATGTAACATTAATACTTACACTCTTTAATAATACAGTAAACCATTAAGTAAAATGACAGCAGGCAATATTTCAACATTAATATTACAACATTATTTCTAAACAAATCAGAATATTTGAATAGTTTGTGAATTGTCATGTGAAATATTTTCAAATTAAACACTATTCCTTTAAATGGCATCATCATTATCATCATCATCATCATTAATATTATTATTAATATTCTTCAAAAACAATTTTACAAATGTTCATTTTCACAAGCTACAGAATAATACTCTGCCTCAGTTACAATGAACTGAGTGACACAACAGTTCTGTCTGGTTCTTGAATCCAATTTGCTGAGCCATCCAGCCTCTTTACCCTTTACCCTTATGTATTACTCTGCCCACATACAGCAACAAGCAGAGGACACTACAGTTTGACAAATATTTCTGCTGTTGGACATAATAATCTATTTTAGAGGCTTTTTTAGTCAAGAATAGTTGTTTAGATGGAAACCTTGCAGTTAATTTATAAGGATAGTGCCTATTTTGAAATATTTATAATTTCTGAGAGACACTGTTGTTAAGCGGGTCGCACACCAGAAGCGCCGCTCGGCGCCGCGACACGGCGCGTACATGACAGTTTAAAGTATCACACACCAGACGCGCACATTCGAATGATATTTAACATGAAACTAATCAGATGGCGCTCTGTGGCGCGGCTGAAAAATGAACAGCGTCCTGAGCCGTCGCCGGGCGCCGCCGACAGCCGCCGACTTGCGGCGCCGGTGTGTGTATCCTGATAGAAACCTATGTTTAGAATTCTAAAATACATGGCGCTGCGTGGCGCTGCGCGGCGCGCCGCCGAGCGGCGCTTCTGGTGTGCGACCTGCTTTAGCCTGTTATTGTGCAGGCCAAAGATAAAAGTTGTCCATCCACAAGATGGCGACAGAGATGCATAAAAAGCCCTTATAGAAGAGGAAAATCCCAGCGTAATTTTAAACACAGCTTATCAAATCATTATAAAAATGGTTACTGACTTTCTAAGTCGATCGATTTCTTTTGTATGTTGTAGTGCTGTATTTATACCATAGTATTTGTAGAGTGAGTGTGAGATGGGACTCCTCTTAAAGTCTTAAAACCGGAGATGGCAATCTGTATCTAATGAGTCTCCTGTAGTGATTGCTTTGACTTTTTTGGGGTTAATTATTGTGATCTCCCTATTACAACAGAGAAATACTGGGAAACAATGACTGTAAAAAATAAACTGGGAAATCTCTCTAGACTGAGATGGCAAAATCACCTGTTTTGTCATCACTTTAGACATTATGCTAGAGAATCAAACACTAGCTCTAAAATGACCTTGGTAAAGTAGCAACTGTTCCTGCTGTTCTGACGTCAGTTGCAGATGTGAATGAATGGCGGAAGAAAGTAGTTCTTGCAAAAGGATTTTTAAACTATCCGTGTTTAATTTTCGTTTTTATACACAATTATGCCGTCAAACTGTTATGTAAACTCAATATCACACTCGTAGCAGTGCGATGTGTCTATATCCTCACTGGTGGGACACTAACCTGCCAACGCTTGCCTCCCCCCAGTGCTGGTCGCATTACACTGCTTCTTGTGTGATATTGCTCATACATTTATTTATTAATATTTTATTACTTATTTTGTTCTAGTAGTCTTCAATAACATTTACTTAGCAAACCTGTAGTACAGAAAGTAATCCACAGCTTTTTAAAATGTCTTAAAGTTGAAGTTCTTCTATTATCCACTAGATGTCAGTGTTTATTCATGATCAAGCCTTCTTCTCGATCACTGCCAGATTTTAATGGTAAACATTAAAAACATACCAAAAAAATTGTCTTTAAAGCTGCTTTATTTCAACAAATAACCCAGCTTGTTTACCATGTTTGATATCTAAATGCTTCAGCACCAAATGTGTCTAGATGTTGGAATGGGAAACAACGCCACAAACAAAAAGGATGAATTTTTAATGCTTGTTTAAATAATAATAGAGTGCATTGATTTCACCAAGTGAACTTTGAACAACACTTTGTTGCTGCAAATACATGTAGATGGTTTAATAAACATCTGACAGCATTATAAATGGACGCAGACACAACATTCAAAGATCAAAGATCATGTGGTGGTTTTAAATAGAGGACCAAAAAATAAATAAAAATACATCCATCAGATATCAGATATTTGACCTCTGTCATTTAGTCGATGTGTGGTTTATCGAGCACCAGACTGACAGAATAATAAAAACAGTTTTTGAAACGACACCTACAGTATACAAACCACTTTGATGCCATTAAATAACAAACAAACTAAAGAATGCCCATGTTTTTTATTCTGGGAAACACAACATCTCATGTTTATTATGCGGTGCACTGTCTGTTCATTCACATCAGAAATGAGCCAGGTCGACCATCTGTCACATTTACTCTAAAAGTTTAATAACGTTATTAAAATCCTTGTGATGCAGTCAGACTTTTGCATAAAGTGTGAAACTCTGTCTGATGAGGTTGTGAATGTTACAGTCACAGTCCAAATGACAATGGCACCTTTGAGATTTTGAGCCGTCTTCACATATATAATTCAAAAGTTCAGTGTGGTTTGCGGAAATGTCACGGTTATTAAATGTATTGATTGCGCCATCAATACTTATTATTTAGCAGATTTATTTTGTGCATCTGTGTGTAGCGATGGCCTCTGATATGTGAGTAAAATGACAGACATTATCGCAAAACACAGATGCAGATAGGAAGTAAATAATACATAGGATACATATGCAACTTGCATTTTATATTTATATTTATTTTTTTACATTTAGAGTGGCTAAATTGGCTAATGTAAACTCATATTTATTCATTCATTGTCTTTTCAGCTTAGTCTCTCTGCCAACTTATCCAGCATATGTTTTTTTGCCTCTCCAGCTGCAACCCATCACTGGGAAACACCCATACATTCTCATTCACACACATACACTGTGGACAAGTTAGTTTATCCAATTCACCTAAAGCGCATGTCTTTGGACTTATGGGGGAAATCGGAGCACTCGGTGAAAACTCATGCAAACACGGGGAGAACAAACTCCAGACAGGGGCTGAGGCTCGAACCAGCGACCTTCTTGCTGTGAGGCGACAGTGCCACCCAATGCGCCACTGTGCTGCCCGTAGGCTCTTATATATATATTTTTCAATACTTTGTTTATAGAATAAAAAAAATTTGCACAAAACCGAAAAACAAAGTCAACAACAACAAAAAACAACAAACATATAAACAGACACCCCTAACAGCTAACAGTTCCTCAAACTTCAGTGCTCAAGTGTCATACAAATGCACAGCAAGTGTATGTATAGGCTGCATACACAACACCAATACAGTATTAACAAATAAATAAAAATGTAAAAAGAACAATATAAAAAGATATATGATACAAAGTGAACCATTCAATTTCTTGTTTTTATTGAAACTGAACTACAGTGTGATATAACAAATTTTCTGTGTAATCAGTGAATATTATTTTTTGAATTTATTTTTTTAACTAGGCCTAGTCTAGATGAAATGTAAACTAGTAAGCCTATATGTTGCCAATGGTGCCACAAAACTAACAAAAATTATTTGATTGGTAAATTTCATGATTCTTTAAAACATTTAATTAAATTAAAGTCCACATGGAGCAGAAGTTGTTGCAGACTTTTATTTCAGTATATTTATGTATTTCAGATTGAAACTGGATTTAACATTTTTCACTTGCAGCAAACTACAGGTTGTGGCCCTTTTTTATTTACTTATTTATTAATTTTTTTAAAGCCCAAATACTGTGTATATTGATCTTATTCTTCAATGTGGAAGTACGGCCGTTTTTGCGATTGCTTAGAACTTCCGACTAAGCTCCCTATGGAAAAAATGACTAGGATTATTAATCGCAGAAAACGGTCAGACTTGCTTTACAAAAAAGTGTTTGCATGATTATACAAACAAAGCACAATCATATAATAAGAATATGTCAGTTAGCAACATCAAGCAGCAGAACGAGCTGTTTTTGAATGAAAAGTGAATGAGACCGAAAGTCTCGAGCCCAAAAGATTCAAATGGCTGTGCCCACTCATACGCGAAGAATAAGGTGAATAATACAACCATGGGCAACATGATGGCGCAGTGAGTGGCACGATCACCTCACAGCAAGAAGGTCGCTGGTTCGAGCCTCGGCTGGGTCAGTTGGCATTTCTCTGTGGAGTTTGCATGTTCTCCCTCTGTTTGTGTGG